AAAAAAAAAAAAAAACTGTTTCCCTTTCTTTCCTTTTTATTTTCCTTGTTCTTTTTTTTTTTCATTTCAATATTACTACACATCTTCTCTTCAACACCTTTTCTATGTCTTCAGTTAAATGAAGCATCAAAGTATTCCTGAAGCAGAACCCCTTATCACTGATGTTCCTACAGCAGCTACCCCACAAACAACCCAACTTATGGTAAATGATCATTAGTAGTAGCAAATATGCACGCTTGCTTCTAAAAAAAAAAAAAAAAAATTGCATTAGAGTTTCCGTTTTGTTACTTTTAACACGGAATAAATGGGAAACTTTTTCAAAAGAGTATAAGATCCAAGTAAAGAAAGAAAAGAAACAAAACAGTGGGGCTGTTGCAAACGGTGTGAACCTGGAAAGGGAAGAAAAAAAAAAAAAAAAGAGAAAGAGCTCCAAAGAAGTCTTCTTCCCAAGATACGTGGTAGTGATGAAGAGGTGTTTCCAATTATATAAAGAAGAAACAAAGTCACATGTGATGACTTCAACTCACCTTGTTTTTTTTCTTTTTTTTTTTTTTTAATTCTAAAACACCTTCTTTTTCACTTCTATTCGCATTAACGAATGATTTTGTATACCTTCAAGTATATATATATATATATATATATATATATATATATAAATAAGTATATAAGTATATAAATATATACCTTTGTCATTGTGGTCACGCATATAAGCATTTCCTTATATATAGTACGTATAAAGAAGAAAATATGTATATACTTGCCTCGCTGTCGAAGGTTTTTCTGCTCGCTTCTTACTTTTTATAGCTTCTTAGAATCCAGCGAAGTTTCAGAATCTCCGGCATTACTTTTGAATATGTATGATTGTATCTTTCGATCGCTTGTTGAATGCAACGATGACCCTGATTCCGGCCCTTGATTCTGGCCATGATCATAATGATTGGTGCCGTTGTGGTGCTGGTGCTGGTGCTGGTGCTGGTGAGGACTCCCTTCTTCCTCGTCTTCTTCCTCCTCCTCCTCCTCTTCTTCTTCTTCCTCTTCCTCCTCTTCTTCTTCCTCTTCTTCTTCTTCCTCTTCCTCTTCCTTTTCTTCTTGTTCTTGTTCTTCTTTGTGTACCCACTGTTTCTTCTTGTTCAGTATAGTGCCAATGATCCGCCGCAGTTCCCGTAGGACCTCGTCAAGTGTTGGTCGCTTCTCCCGCTGCTCGCTGAGCATCTGGCGGATGAGTGCGGCCTCCTCCGGGAAGGCGGCGGCGAGGGCGGCCGGCAGTTTCCCGAGGCGGGCCTCCCCCAACGTGTCGAGCCGCTCGTGATCGGTGGTGAAGAGAGAATAGAACTCCACGGCAATGACTCCAAGGGAGTAAATGTCGCTGGCGGCCGTTGCTGGTTTGCCGATTTTCTGTTCAGGGCTGCAGTACAGCGGGGTGCCACCGACAATGGAAGACTCCCGGTCGTTGATGCATTTCTGAGAGGCGTAATCATCATTAATAGTTCCCTGAGAATTGGGGTTGGCCACACTCTGCTTCGCTAAGCCAAAGTCACCAATCTTTACTATACCAGAGTCTGTGAGAAATATATTGGTTGGTTTAAGGTCACGGTGAACGATTTTTTGACTATGAAGATAACGTAGTCCTTCAGAGATTTGAAGAAGATATTTGAGGTTTTGGCGACGAGTAAAACGATTACGTTGGCGAAAGAAATCTGCAAGTGTTCCACGTTCAAAGTACTCCATTTGAATAAATAACACCCTACGTAAAAAATCACTTGAAATAGAATTTGTAATAGACCAACTACGGCTACTTTCTTCTTTGTAGAGTGTTGAAATACTATCCCTCGTACCTCTATGATGAATAATACCATACGTCTCAGCAACATGAGTTGGAACATTCTCAATCCAAGAGTAAAAAAATCTCACCACATTTGGACAATCAAGAGAACTATGTAAAACTGCCTCCCGTATATATCGTTCTTGAACTTTCTCATCAATACAAATAGCTTTTATTGCGTAAACCTTCCCTGTAACCCGATGTTCAACACAATGCACACTTCCTTCTGCACCACGACCTATTTTTCTTAATACTTCAAAATGTTGTTGAAATAATTGCGGTGGAGAGTTAACATTCTTTTCTATAAGTGTATCACTTGTTTGTTTTTCACTTACACTAGAGTCATCACCACCAGAATTCTTCCACCAATCATCCGTCAAATCTCTTTGATCTGAATTTGTTTCTTTTATTCCTTCTGTACGAGTATCTGACTTAAGTGATAATGATGGAAAAGACATTAAATTATCATTCCTTCCGTTTAACATAAATGGGGTCATACCTTTAGATATATTTGATATACTTTCTACTTTATCACCATTTGTTCGCATATCTTCAGGAAGGAGTTTATCTGAGCTTGATCTAGAAGAATTTCGAACTTTATCCCGTAGTGCATCAGACTGTGCCCACGCATTTCTCAGTCTAGGACGCTGACCCACGCCAAGAGAGAGAAGGGTAAAGGATATAATCAAGCATAGAAAATGAAATCCGATAAAAGCTGTTCGACGTGTTGCACCATAAGACCAAAGAAGAGAAATTGTAGAAAAAAACTGAGACATTTCCATAGACTGATTACTTCCCATTAGTGATCGATTCAGCAGAGGACCGTATGGATTACTGTATCCATAAAACCATGAACATTGTTGAAAAGAATCATGAAGTTCACGATTTTCACGTTCTTCTGCGTCTATATCATATTCCCATATATCCCCAAAAGAGAACCCTATTGAAGGTTGTTCAGAACATTGCCTATCCTCTATAAATGGTGGAATATTAACAAGTTCATTAATATTTTTTATTGAGGTTCCAGCTTCTTCATCAATCAATTTCACCGTAGCAGTAGAAGTAGTAGTAATAATAGCATTGTTGTTGTTATTGGTGGTGCTACCTCTGCTGCCACAAGTTGTGGTATATGATGATGGTATAATAGGGTAAACAGGTACACGTTGAACTCCACTCTGTTCTGTTATCCAAACATATGCTGCAGCGAATCCATTTAGTGATCCCACAGTATTTGTCCAAAGGGAATTACCAGCCATACTATTCCATAATACATACTTCTTTGGTTTAACTTCCCGCACAGATAACACATCCTTAAAAATATTCTTCTGATTTCCGTTTAAGAGAGATTTGAAATTTTTTGTTTCCTTAACAATAGTTTCTGGAAATAATGGTAATTTATGCTCATTGTTCGGGTCCTTATTCTGCAGCAACTCTTGTAATAAACGAGAGAAATAATGTGGATTATTATATTCCAATGAACTCCCAGAAGATTGTGGTGGGGATCGTTTTCTTAGTTTGTACTGCGCCAAACTCATTTGCCAACTGTACTCCTCATGACACTGCACATGAATTGTTATATTATAACGCACAATATGTAAATAAGGCCAAAGGGTGTTTTTAGATTTTACCGGTTCCCCATTGTAACTATTAACATCCATGAGCTGAGCTGAGCTAGTTACAAAGACATCAGTATCTCCAACATGTACATGACGCCGACGAATTAATGTAGAAAGATTCATAAAATAATTTGGATGCAGTGGAGTAAGCGGTATGTTACCAATATTTTCTTCTTCACCATCATCACTATCACCACTATAATCAATACCTTCATTATTACCTGCATCATTTAGAGGAAGCCGTCGGTTAGACAAATTAGGAGTAAAACGACGTCTTGTAAATAACATATCCCCCTCTATCAAAAACGGCTGAGATAGAGGATCTTCTTTTAGAATTTTATCTGTTGGATGTTGTTCATATTTGGCGTGCATTACACTTCCTCCAGTATCCACACTCCATAATTGTATTCCCGAGTCTAGCAGATGTGCTGAAAGGTTGCCCTCCATGTGCAACAAAAGTACCAAAGAAGGAAGACGAAATCCATAAAGTGGCATTAAACCAAGATCTGTTGATCCTTGTGTTGGAACTGTAGTGGATTCATCATTTACCACGTTTGTTGGTGTTGTTGGTGTTGGGGTCTTTGTTGTTGTTGTTTCTGTTGTCTGCGGCATCACATCATATAGGTGTACAGAAGTAGGAATAGGAGCACCACTATCAGCAGATATAGAAACATCAGTTGCTAAGAACGCCAATGCACACAAGCATACAAATAATAATAACGCTGTGATGCGATGATAACCATTCGTCATTTAATGGCAACTGAAAAAAAAAATGTACGCAAATACAGAAGGTGGATAAAAGTGGTGAAGACAGGAATAGAAAAAGTCTCCTCCACACCAAGTATATACAAGACTGATGCTATAGTTGATCGGATGGCACACTTTTCAAGGTAGTAAGATGATCACTTCCAAGAAAAGATGCGGTAAGAAATCGACAGAGAGGGAAAATAAATATATATAAAGAAAAAAAAAAAAAACGAATTGCAGATAAAAGCAAATCAAAAAAAAAAAAGGTTTGGACCCTAAACAGAAGATTTGTGTCACTCCTTCAACTTTCTAATCTACAGGGTTAAAGAAGTTGATGTTGTAAACCGTTAATGCTAGTGTCGTCTACCTTTTTTTTTTTTTATCTTGCCTTACCTGAGAGTGACGGTTTTCTGGCACTGATATACGTTTCTTCGAAAGCGAAAGTGAAAAATAAAAATAAATTGGAAAAAAAAGATATTATTGAGCCTGCAAAACAAGAACAAGAATAAATAAGCATAAGCAAAAATAAAAAAAATAAAAATAAAAAAAAGCAAACAGAAAACAGAACACAAGAACTACACACACACACACAAAAAAAAAAAAACAATAATTGAAACACTGATAAAAACAAATAAAAAGAAGCGAAATCAAGCGTAAATTCTCTTTTTTTCTCTCTTTCAAGTTTTTGGACACTCCTCGAATTATCATTGTAAAGAGTATCGGAGAGCACTGGGAGCAGGAGCAGCAGCAACAGCAGCAGGAAGAGAAGAACTACAACTACTACTACTATTATTACCACTACAAAAATAAAAAAACAGCAAGACTGCAAATATGGAGTTCATTCCATTGTACCACAACGTGCCACTGTCGTCCATACAGATCCACCACTCTCTTTTCCTGTCAGCAGACGAACCAACGCGACACAAGTATCTCTTCCCATATCTTCTTCACTACTCTCGTTTTCTTGAGACAACACTAGAGCCTGTTGTCGAACTTCGTCAAGTACTTTGGGCATACGAATAAACGCATCTAACAACTCCCGTTGAAAATCAACCCGCAATGTCTGAAGTGCCTTCAGCTCCTCTGCATCTGAGAAGGAAAAGCGCGGTGTTAATATATGCCGCGCCGATGGTAAATGCATATCTTCCGGAGTGCAGAGAACCCCTGTAGCACGCCATTCTGTCGGCAGTACGCCATACTCTGTCTCTGCCAACACCGTCTCCACCCCACGCCCCTCCCGCAAGAGTCCCACAACAGGACACTGAAGAAGAGCGTGAAGAGAGTCAACAGAATGAAAAAACTGAAGATATTGGAGAGCGACAACGGCTGCGGCATCGGGGTTGTTAGGGCCGGTAAGGGCCGTCGCATAGAGAAGAGCCCCGAGGACCTGCCTCCCAAAATCTTCATCTTCTTCTCCATCTCTATAATTATCTCTATCTCTATACAAACCTCTATCTCTACTAAGAACTCCACCAGAACCAACCTTATCAATCACAGAGAGGGAATCCTCATAACGACCCACTAGACGCCCGCAAGCACGAGCAATAAAAAGATCCACGTTGCTACCATTTATCACAAAATCTTCATTGCGCCAAAGTTGTTCCACCTCCGTGGGAAAGCGAAAAGACTCAACATACCGCTTCATAATAGCATTACCATCTACATCTCGTATCTGCTGCTTCAGAGTTTCCAACTCACGTAGTTTTGACTTAATAGACATCGTCTCTAAAAGCCGTATTTCTGACTTAACTTTCTCAACTGCTTCGTCAACATTTATTTCGCCTTGTAATACTTCTGTATTTTCTCCTTCTTCTGCATTCTTTTGGAGAAAATCTTCATCTTCTTTCTTTTCCGCATATATCTTCTTGGTGTTTTCTCTTTTACGTTGCTCTTTCAATGAAACACCAAGATCTTCCCTATCAAGGGCACTAGATGCAAAACGCAAAACACCTTCAATATTAGAGAGTGCAGATAATTGACTCTTCGATTTCGAATTTTGAATCCCTGCCTTTGGCCGAGATTTCGATTGATTCGCGCTACTCATAAAAAATTTATCCTCTTCCCGCGCAGTTTTCGAGCGTCTTACCACATCACGCATAGCGTGAAGGTGTTGCTGCTCCTTAAGTAAGGTAGAAAGAGACATCTCAAGATCGTCCAAACGTTCAACATCAAGTGTCATCTGCGACAAGGCTTCTTGTGTGTCATCAACAAGACACTGCAAAGCATCTGCATGTACAGAAGACGAAAGAGCAATAAAACGGAATAATTCAAGCGCCTCCCCCATTCTCTTGATACCCTCAAAAGAAGATCTTTTTTCACGAAAAGATAAAGAAAAAACAAAGAAAAACAAAATAAAAACAATAACAACAGCAAAAAAAAAAAAAAAAAAAA